TCGCGGCTATCAAGCGCAATTTCTCGACTCCAAAGTCGTTGCGAGGCTTCCAATTGAAGCTTCCATTCACCGTAGGACCGCGATTCATCGCCATTGCTTTCAATTCGTTGATCCCCTCTTTCCCACCGTTGGCCGCATTTGAAATTCCGAAACCCAGAATTTGTGATTCTAATTTGGGCGCTTTCGATTCAGGCCTCTTCGTGACGAATTGACTGATCCTAAAGCTTCTTGGAACGTCCCTTGATGAATCTACATCAGCCAATTTGATCGAATCGACCTGGAACTCTCCATCCCATTCAGTCGATTGTTCTTTGTTCTTGAGCGTTTCCTGAGGAGTTCCAGCTCGAATTGGTTCCAACAGTTGAACTTGATATGGCTCGAAACAATCCCGCGAAATCATTCCTTGATGTTGTTGGAATGTTTCTGTAGCAGAGGCTTCACACAAATCACCTCTCGTAGCCACGATGAGATCGTCGTTCTTGCTACTCTGTTTTTCTGGAAAATAGCAGAGGGGTGGCAGAGTGGTCGAGGGAGGGGTTCGATCGTCTCCAACCAGGCTCTGATACCACTTATTACGCCCCTGGGGGTGTATGTTATCAAAGTCACGCAGCACAACAATCAATCCGAAGATTGGTTGAAAAATCGAATCAAGAACAACGTGTTCTTAATACGAAAATTGGATAAAACGGAAACGAAAGGGAATTCTTACACCTGGAAGAATGCACAATCGTTATGGTGAAGCTTTCGATATAATCGAGTTTGATTGCTCGATCAATAAGCAGGTCAGCAAGTTTTGATCGCAACCAAAACCCAAGAACAAGTTCGCAAACTTGAACAAAACCAAAACGGTTTCTTTTTCGATTAATCAACAAAGTCTGAATTTTACAACGTAATTAGAAAGCTTAAATAGGCCTATCTAGGGTTACACACGTCCCATAAACTCCTAATTACAGTCTAATACGAAAAGGAATCAAAAACTACCAAAACAATGAAATCCTAACTAAACAAGAAAAGGAAAATCTGCCTTTAGCTCCAAGTAACCAAACAGCTTTGATGTCATTTTTGAGCCTCTCGATCAAAGCCTTCCAGGTAAGCTTCCAATCATCCAATGCCATGTCTTTGTACTAGAACATACCTACTTTCATGTGGTATAAGCCTCTGGACTCGAATCCCTTCCATGATTCTGGAATGGAGCTCCAAAGTAGGCTTCTTGAACACAGTTTCTGCCTTAGCCAAATTCTGGCAGTTTTCCAGTTTTGAAGTAGCAACTTTGAGACTTTGGAAAACGACCTTAATGACTTCTTCTTGAGCAACCAAGCATACCAAGGTGTATATAATCACTCCATGTTCAATACAAGCCATTAAAATTGAATTTCCATTGAGCCAATTGAGAGAAACTTGCCTCCAAAATTGGCTACTTGAACACGGAAAATGACACTGACAGAAATGAACGTTCTTCAGGCAGCTTGAGCTTGCTTCTTCGTCAAGTAATTCCAACTTGTAGAGTGGCCTATTTGGGATCATATCAGTCCCACAAAGTTGTGTGGGAAATGGAGACTCCCATCAACGCGGCTTTCGTTGGTCTTCGGCTGAGAGAATCAGCTGCATGATTCTCTTTTCCAGGTTTGTAGGAGATTTCGTAATCGAAACCCAACATTTTGGAGACCCAGTTTTGCTGTTCGGGAGTTGTTATCCGCTGGCCCAAAAGGTGTTTTAAGCTCTTCTGGTCAGTCCGAATGAAAATTTTGCGGCCCAATATGTATGGCCGCCAAGTCTGGACAGCGGTGACGATGGCGAGCATTTCTTTGGCATAGGTGGACAGCGCCTGTTTGGACTTGCCGAGTGCCCGACTCATGTAGGCTATGGGCTGATCATGTTGCATTAAGACAGCCCCAATGCCCACTCCCGACGCATCGGTTTCAATGACAAAGGGAGCCTCGAAGTTGGGCATTGCTAGGACCGGAGTTGTTGTCATTGTTGTCTTCAATTGCTGAAATGCATCCGCAGCAGCCGGTGTCCACTCAAATTGGCCTTTTTTCAAGAGATTAGTCAGAGGACGGGCAATAGAGCCATATCCCCGAACGAACTTACGATAGTAGCCGGTAAGTCCCAAAAACCCCCGCAGCTCGGTGACGTTGGCTGGTGTTGGCCATTCGGTCATGGCTTGAATTTTGCGGGGATCGACCTTCACTCCTTGGGCTTTGATAATGTGACTGAGATACTCAATCTCTGGTAAGCCAAAGGCACACATAGAAAACTTGACGAAGAACTTATGATGCCGGAGAATTTGCAGGACTTGGCGCAAGTGTTCACGGTGGCTGTCCTTGTCCGGACTGTACACCAGGATGTCGTCGAAGAAGACTAGAACGAACTTGCGGAGCATGGGTCTGAATATGTCGTTCATAATAGCTTGAAAAGTAGAAGGGGCGTTACAAAGTCCGAAAGGCATTACCAGGTATTCGTAATGACCATTGTGAGTGCGAAATGCCATTTTGGGAACGTCAGCATCGTTCATTCGCACTTGGTGATAGCCTGCTCGCAAATCCAATTTTGTGAAGTAGGCTGCCCCGTGCAGTTCATCTAATATGTCATCTACGGTGGGAATGGGAAATCGATCCTTTATGGTTGCTGCATTCAAGGCCCGATAATCGGTACAAAACCGCCAGGATCCGTCCTTTTTCTTGACTAGCAGTACCGGGGAGGAATAGGGGCTCGTACTCGACTGAATTAGACCTGCCGCGAGCATCTTATTGACCTGTGTCTCAATTTCTTCCTTCTGGAAATAGGCATACCGATAGGGCCGAACATTAATCGCTTCTGTTCCCTCTTTCAAGTTGATGCGGTGGTCAATTTGGCGTCGAGGAGGCAGCTGTGATGGTTCCTCAAACAGGTCACCGAAGTCCCGTAAGAGGTCTTGGAGATCGTCCGGTACCCGTCGAAGAGGATCTTCCGATGGCGGAGGAATGCAAATGGCGCGAAGGCCGGGCTCCTCCTTTGTGAGACCTTTGACGGAAATGGCAGAGATGGGCGAGTCGGCGATGCCACGCAGGCGTCGGCGAAGGCCATTCCACTCAAATTCCATTTCCATTGACTTCCAATTACTCTGTATGGTGCCAAGCATCTCCAACCATTGAACGCCGAGGATGATGTCAAAACTAGTGAGTGGAATTGCAAAGAGAGTGACGGGGAATTGGATGCCTTGAATATTGAAGTTAATGCCCTCATGTTTGCCGTTGCACTTAAGTGGAGCTCCACTGGCGACCTTGACGTTGAAAGCGGCGACGGAAGTCCCGGGAAGCTGCAGAGTTTCAGCGCTTTGGAGCTAATAAAATTGTGGGTTGACCCGCTATAAATCAGCACCATCAAATTGGATCGGCCTACTCGGGCCCAGACCCGCATTGTAAGTCCACCGGTTCGGCCCGCAATGGCATGGAGAGAGACCTCGGCTGATTCGGCGGGGGCGAACAGTTCCTCTTCCTCTTCCTCATCCAATAGCATCATCAACCTAGGCTTTGCACAACGATGAGTTGGTGTAAACTTCTCGTTGCAATTAAAACAGAGACCCGCGGCGCGGCGGCGGTGCATTTCTTCATATGGTAGTCGCTTGCCCCCCATCGGCGGTTGGACTCGATTGCGTATTTCGGGTGCCGGCTCGGCAACGACTCGGGGACGCGCAACGAAGGTGGTGTCAAAAGTGGATATGGGTTTGGACCGGGGTGGCGTCGTATAGTCCATAGCAGATCGGAACGTCGGTCTTGGGGGACTGCTACGGCGGCTGAGCTGCTCGTCTCGGGCGCGAGCAAGATTGATGGCATCCTTCAAGGTTCTGGGATTAAATATGCGGATCCCGTCTGCTTGATTCGTGAGAGAGATTCGTCGAAGCTGGTTCCGGTAGCTTGGCCGAATCGCGCCCAGAGTTCCGAAGAGAAGGTGTCCCAAGTGATGTGCAGACCCTCCGTATGGTACGTTCGACGGAGCCACTACCACCATTGATTCGCATCGCCTTCGAGATGGTAAGACGCTAGAGTCACCTTTTGGTCTTCTGGAATGGCTTGGAACTCGAAAATTGTTCAACGCGGGAGAACCAGACGGTTGGATCTTCTCCGGCGTAGGTGGGGAACTCCAGGCGAGCAAGTTTAGCCCCAAAGAAGGGCCGGTGGTCCTGATCATCATCATCATCAGGTTGAGGTCGGCGGGGCCGGCCATTGACGGATCGTTCTCCTCCGTCGGAGTGTCGTTCATCAGATTTTGCTGCTTGATCTTGAGCGATCTGATTAACAACAGTCTGAACGGCTGCCAATTGATCTATGATCGCCTGGATGCCGGTTCGGTTATCATGAGTGGCCGTTTCGAGAGCTTCGATGCGTTGAGCGTGAGTGCCCATGCCGGGCTCTGATACCAAATGATACGGGCTGAAGTTGTAACGATCGAGATCTCCCTTTCCTTGGCAGGAAGAAGCCAGTGTTCTATTTTCTTGGCTAGAACAACCAGGGTTTCTTTTGACTCTAAAAAATGCTTCCTGTTATTCACTCTCAACCCTCCTTAAGTACATCACGTTTGCAGAAGGAAAACAACTTGGAAAAGGGAAAAACAACCATTCCTATCTATGTGGAACGAAACCCACGACCTGCTAACAACTACTCTCCACTTATTCTGTAATTCAAAAACAACCAACAAAGCTAACTACTTACTGACTCGTTCAACGCGACTACCGCAATTGCGGAAGTTGACTCAAGACTCTAGACACCTACAACAGCAAGCTTGACAGGAAGTCCCATGTGCTGGCTATCCAACGTAGTCGCGATAACGGCGGTTAGGTTGAGTAGTCCGAGCTTAATGGCGAACCAAGGGAATGCTCGTATCAGTATACAAACTTGCTATGCGGTCCAACCACATTGTTTGCCCACCCCTAAAGCTAAGCATTAATAGTAAACTTCAAGACCAGCTTTAGGCCAACACTTGACACCTTTACTTACACCGTGATACGAGCTGAGATGAGTCGAAAATTGAATAAGCACGATCAAACAATAAAATGAATTTAATACATAACCAGCTACATGAGACGACCCGAACAAGAAAGAAGACTTGTGCCCATACCAGACTCTGGTCAACAAAAACTATCCCCCAATACAGATACAACTACAACAAATGCCTCTCGGCTGGAGGAGCACGGGTTTACTTTGAATGTAAAAAACGTCCTAATCACAGTCTCTAGTTTCAGTAAAGCTGCATCAAGAAAATAAAACCATCTGCAGGCTTATATTCTTGCGTTTGCAGGTACTACTGGAGTGGTAAGAGGATACAATCTATAGTACATTGGTGAATGGAAGGCCTCACCATACACTAAAATACAGCCTCCGACGGAAGTATCAAGCAAGTTGAAACAAACTCTGGAGGAGGGGCTCGAAAAATGAAGTGGAAGATATCCGAACAGCAAAAGCTGCTAGTGAGAGAGGGACTATGTTTCATTTCAGATGCTTTCCTTTTGCTGTATATTCTGCAGTTCTAGCAGCCAAATACTTGAAGGTAGCGTCCCAGATTTGCCTCTCGGAATCAGGAGGCTTTTTACCTGCCACAGACGGTGTCCAGGTACCTTTATTCGCATCTGCAAGGATCCATTCAACACTGTCGGGCACATTGGAAAAATTGAAGTCCAAATGAGAAGCTACCCTAGCTTCCTTTTTAGGCGTCTTGCTTTTCTTAGCACTGGATCCCTCTGCAGACTTGAGAAAGCTTTCAAGCATTAATAAACAAGAACTGTCAAGAAGAAATATTTAGAGGGAGCAATTTTCAGTTAGGTAGGACTTCTTACATTAGCATTAGCATCGGAGCTCTCTGCTTTTTTTTGCTTCTTCACGCTTCCCGTCTCCAAAAAATACTGCACCTCTCGCTTGGACCTAAACCGCCGGCGCGAGACAGGATCAAAGTAGTACTGCATCCAGTAAAGAAAAATTATTGTCCTCCACGTAGGCAGGAAGAACTTACTTAAATGCCAGGAAAAAGAGGAATAACACGGTTGGATATCAGCCGATTCGGTAAATGATAACATCTTCTAGCAAACATATTGTCTCAACATGCAAGTCATTCATTGACAACATGGAAACCTTTAGTTTCTTCTACTTGGAAAAAACCCAGGTGTTTGTGATACCACACCATATCGATTGGTATTACCAGTCGAACCACATACTGGAGACTAGCCAGGTAACGTTTTGTCATGATTTCATTAGAATTTTCAGTAAGCCCTTCAAAGCTTAGCCTCACCATTTCAATCTCCGATACGGTTTCGAGAACATTGAGAAACTCATTGAAGTTCCTTTTACACCCATAAGCAGAGACCTAAACTTGTTTTACAAACTATTTGACCACAACCTGCATTCTTGCTTCAATGAGATATCCTATGTCAGTGAGCAACAGCAAATATTCTGTAACAAACTCGCACATAGATAGAGATATCCTTATCCTTATTGGAGACTAAAAAATCCAAAATGCAACCCATATAAGCTTTTGACTTCTTCAATCATTCTCAGAAGCATCAAGGCCAATCTCAACCTAGCAGTTAGTCCAAGTTCTTACTTGTCTGCTGTGCATCCGAGAAACTAAAGGCTACTCCTGCCATCTCAAATGAATCAGGATTGAGAGAACAGTTGGTAATCTTATGAAGTGAAACCTTAACTAGTCTTTATACCATTAAAAAAAGAAGAAAAGGTACACGACTGCCACAGTAGAAGGCATACTCAGTCTCTAATTAACTCATCATAGGATCGTTCTTGTTACAAAATTATCTAAAATGATGATTCAGCCCCTACTATATTTTCAACTCTTCATTTAACCGAGACATCAGTGGGAAGTGGACAAGAAGCTTTTAATGATCACTGTCCAGGAGAGAACTTCCTACCCTTGAAGCAGACTTCCACAAAACATATCTTAGACCAACTTATGTATCTCTACGTGAATAAACTAAAACAATACCCTCTAAATCTGGACTTCTTATTGTTGTTAAACCTTAGCTGCTTATTTATCCTCCCAAGGTATTGACACATCCTATGAAGAGAAGAAGATTAAAAAGAAACTGACAAGACTTCGACTTGTTGACGAATCATAACCAGGATAAACACTACCATCAACCAGAAATCACTTGAGTGCATGCAATGATGCCTCAGTTGTGATGAAGAATGAACTGCAGATGAAACTGACAAGGCATTCCTATCTCAGGGCTTCAAACAAATTGACTGCGTCCAGTTGCAGATTGGTAAGAAAGAGCCGGTCAACTCAGTTTGCCAACCTTCCTACGACAGTAAACTCAATCGAACAAGCTTAAGGGATTCAATGCAACAATTTCCTGATCAGAGCAGAAGCACATACGAAACTTCATTGTCTGATTGAACTATCTTCATCTCCCTAACCAAACATTACACCCTCTCATTTCACCCAGAATCGTGGGAAAACCTAATCGAACCAAATTTAGCAACCGCTGAACCGATTCATGCCATACTCAGCAGCTTAACAGACGAGTGAGAGCTGCAACTCCTACAATAAATCACAATCTCAAGGCAGCAGCAAGGGAAGATCCAGTCAAAGGCGATGAATATTCTGCAGGATTGACATGCGAAAGTTCGGCACTAACCTTATCTATCGTCCCAGCCGTCGCACCCGAACTTCTGACCCTGTCTTCCACCAACCACCCGGGCGGCAACCAGCTCGTCTCCGACACTCTCGTCCGCGATCGAGAAGATTCCGCCGCTGCATTAGCTGCAGAGGAGTTAGGCTGCTGGTTGTCGCCCGGCTGTGTAGCTTCGACCCCGGAGGAACCAGAAACGGGGGAAACGAAAGCGCCATCTTGGAGCAGCGGATCCGGCGATGGACCGGCGGGGAGGTGCGGCGATCTGTCGGGTTTAGGGAGGTTCGGTTTGGTATAACGCTGGGGCGTAGCTTTTGTTGTATTTGACATCGAATGCCGAGTGGAGAAATGCCATTTGCGCCAAAGGGCTTCTTGGCTTTTAAATTTCTTGTTACAGACTGAGACAGTCGACTCCCATTTTGTGTGCAACGGAATTTTACAAGAAGCCAATTAACCATTTTTAACTTAGGGGTCGTTTGGAAGTTGCGATAGTTTTGTTGAGATTGTCATTATGCATGTATTGTTTACAATGCATCGTTTTTTTGTTTTTTTAGCAGAAACAATACATGGATTGTTTTTGTGATGTAACAGAAACTATCACTCATTTTGAGTGATTGTTATATCTCAACTTTTAGTTGTGATTGTTGAGATAGTTGAGTTGAGATTGTTTTGTCTCAGTTTTTAGTTGATGCGACATACACAATCACACATACCAAACGTTGTATTCTACAATGCATCAAATTCGACAATACATGTATAATATTATACATGCATTCTCAACAATACATCTATTTAACAATCGCAACTTCCAAACGACCCCTTACAGTTATTTATCCCTGTAAGATTATTACTTGCCATCTGGATACCGTGAAAAGGAGAGAACACACTATTCTACGCTTATAGCTCCAGAAGTAAAATGTATTATTTATACTTCATTTTAGTGGCACCTACTAGATAGATCATTGAGGCAGTTTTGTTTGGAGCAACCAATCCCGAAGAGGCGTGTTATTTGTCGCCCGTATATTTACTATTTGCCGCCTGTTTATTAATTTGAAATGACATTTTTGCTCTCCTCAACACTCCTTCCATCACCTGAAACACCATCACCGAAACACCATCGTCCGCAGGACCACCATCCATGGAGTCCGCGCCGGCGGACCACCACCGCCAGAGCAAACCGCCGGCCATCGTCGAGCCAACGAATGAGGTAACGACCCTCCACCTCCCGGCGTCGCCCCCATCGGGCCCCGTACCTCGCCCCCATCGGACCCCGTTAGCTCGCCTCCGTCGGACCCCGTCCGCTCGCCCCCTTCGGACCCTGTAAGCTGGCCGGCGTCGGACCTGGCCGAAAGTCGAGATGAAGAAGGAGGAGATGGAGAGAGGGTATTCAACGGGAGAAGTTTAATGGAGGTTATTGGAGAGAGAAGTGATTAATATTATTGTTTATTATTATATTTAATGATAATGATTAGGATTCTCTCGTAAATGAGAAGGATTAGGGGATGATAAGTATTATTATTATATCAACAAGTATTTTACCCGGCCCGTTGGTCGGAGAATTGCATTTTATTATTTATATTAAATTATTTATCTATATGTATAATTTATTTGGATTTTATAAGTATTTTATTTTCTCGCTTTCATAAGCGAATGGTATGCCTATATTGAAAATTCTTAATACTTAATAATTAACACACTTACTTATGATGTTTTGATTCTCTAATCATAAATCATATCGTGAAGGTTTGTCACGTCCCATTTAGAATCAATAATATATTTATATTTTTCAATCAAGATACTCAAATTTATTATCTTATATAACCTATATCAGCATGTAATTCTAGAGTATGGCGAGACTCTCAACCAATTAATGAGAGTTCTCATTATTGGATAAATATATTTGATTACACGATAAATTATGTTTATCATGATGGAAATTACACGCATCATATACCTTATGAAGATCAAATGCTTCAATCTTTACTCATGTTCGTTGTGGATGTTCATGAAGTCTTAGTATAGGATCTTATGATAAAATTTGTTTATCAAGATACTCAAATTTAGTATCTTATACAATATATATCAATTGCTACTTTTGAAAATTGGACTAACTCTCAATCCATGGTTGTTGTCTAAATATTGTTTTATAATCTCAACCGAAGATACTCACATACACTATTGAGGATTCTCATCTTAACATTGTCCTTCAGTGTATAATTTTTCAACTTTTTAAATGTGCATTTGCTAAAAAATTGTCCTTAGTGTTTGTTATGGAACAAAAAATGCATTACTAACATTAATAAAGTGTGTCTACAACGCACACATATTCAAGTGTATTTTAAAATGATGTTTTGCTTGAACTCTTAATTTATCATTTTTTTAAAAAAGGTTTACAAAATTTCCTACTAACATTGTAACATTTCACATGCATTTGAATTCTTGGATGTATTATAGACACATTTGAGTTAGCCGAAGATGAAAATCAACGATAATTTCGATGGATAAGAATCTTTGATTTTAATTTCAAGATTAAATGAACATTATGCTTTAGGTTAGTGAATTGGAGACTGAGGTTCACGCATTAGGGGTTAGGATATATAGTATCATGCCCCAAACTCAGGTTAATACATTGTCTAAATATCAATACTCAACGGGCGTAGGCATTCCCTAACCTTTGCCATATATATAGTTTAATCAATACCTTCGAACTCAACTCTTTGGTTGAATATGAAAAAAAAAAAGTTTATGGCTAGGGTAACTCGACGTGAATACAATTTGCTTGCTCTTACAAACTAAAATATTTTCATTTTGAAACTTTGATATCGAAAAATGTTTTATTACTGCCAAAAGTTATATGGAGTCAGACTCACAACCATATAACCAAATGAGTTCTTACAATTGTCTTACTAAACTCATCGTTGTTAAAGATTCTTTATATTAACCAAATACCTCGATTTAGACTCTTGTAACTATATATCTCAACTAACATCCTGATGTTTATTTATTGCCTCAATTTTCGAATTTCTATTTGTTTACCAAGACATTTAAACAAAAATTTCCAACCCTTATTTAATTATTGCAAGGTAAGAGATTAGCAAAATGTGAAGCTTCACGTACATCCTCAACAAAGATTTCTCTAACCTTCACACATGTCATTCTCATCCTAGAAAATGAAGTCAAAGTTTGTCAACAATCATACTTAAGCCATTTTTAAAATTTTGATTTATGATCCTCGGTAATTAATAACTCCGGGTCTGAAAATAAAATATTAGCATAGAATGTAAGACCTCCATAGAGCTTGCTCAATAAACATGATCTAGAGCAATAATATATGCTGTGAATTTAGGATACATTATAAATTGTTGCAAATGTGATTCATAATATATGTTGCACATATTATTTTTTGGTATATCATTATTTTTTTAATCAAAAAATTATTATTATTATTATCATCATCGATGAACACAATATTATTATATATGTGTTCGTTTAATTTTTTCATCAAAATGTAGAAAATGAGTAGAAAATTTACTTGATAAGATTTAAGTAGATATTTTTAGTTTGAAAATTGTGATATCTGTCACTCTCTATTTTCACTTTTATATTTAGTTTTATTGACAAAAAGGTTATTATTTATGTGTATTCATTTAAATTGCTCATAGAAATGTAACTTATTATTTAGTATTAGAAAAAAGAGTAAAAACTTAATTATTAAGGTCTAATAATGTATTTTTGGGTTTAAACAAATGTGATATATCATATATGTCACTCTCCAAATATTAGTCTACTACAATACATTAGTATAATTAGTATAATGCAAAAGCACAAAAAAGAAGAATTATTGGATAAAAGAAAAGAAATTATTAAATGAAGAGAGATAGCTTCATAAATAGATCAATAACAATAACTAATTTTTTGTTAGTAAGAGAATTGTCCACCTTGGTAACTTGTGAGCTCTCCAAGTGCTTATGTGGCAAACTTTTAATTTTGAATTGCCATAATATTATGTATAGATAGATAGATAGATAGATAGATAGATGTGGGTAATTAAGGAGGTTTGTGGTATGAAGGTTTTAATTAAAGAAAACAAATTAGATTTTTGGCGAGATGTTAGTTAGAAAGTTAGTGGAATCAACTTAAAAATCAATCTGACTTTTAAAAACTCATTAATTATTACAAAAAACTATGTTTAATTTGCATAATTATCAGATTTATAATTATTTAAAACAATATAATTATTTAGTCACAATTCTATAAAACGAATCCTTTAATTTCGGCAATAAAATCAGTAAATTATGTAAAGTAGTGATTAACTATAATTATGTTAAGTAGTGATTAAATGTGGACGGTAGTGAGAGGGTGGTCCGCGCATATGATAGAGATGACATGGCTGCCCACATGAATGAGGGGATCCTGCCTTCCTCTGGTGAGTCGGCACAACGGCCTCTTGATCAGCCAATGCCCCGATCAAAACCTGCTAAACCTAGGGGTAAGTTTAGGCTCGCCCAGGGTGCAGAAAAACCTTATAAAAGGAAAGCACATGGGAATGGGATTGCGGGAGCTCGAGTATCCACTCTCTGTCCGGCGGACAGGTCTCCCCATGTCTCGACAGGTGATTTGAAGAAAGGAAATGAGGATGACATCATTGAGGAGCAATTTTGTGCTAACTCAGATTTAGAAGAGGAGGTGCCCTGCTTTGAGATCAAAAAGCGGATCCCCACAGGCCGTGTTAATAAAGTTGTGGCGGCCTTTGAAGCTGGTCTATCTTTGGCCCAGGAGAGTTGCTGGGTTGATCCTTGCGTTGAAAAGGCCCCTAATGATTATGTTTCAGGGGAGCGACAGGTGAAGGATGATGGCTCCAATGGGTTGTGTCTGGATGAATATGGTTCGAATATGATGAACCCGGATTTTGGGTCTCGGAAACGTTCGTTGGAGCATGTAGGAGGCAATCTGGGTCTCCCCCCGTCTCCGAAAAAGCAGTTTGTGGAAGTTATTGAAGTCTCTGATCAGGTGGAGGAAGCCAGCCTTGAGTGGCCCCAGTCAGATAAATGAGGCTTCTGGCGTGGAATGTAAGAGGAATTGGCCCGTCCCTCACGTTCCAAACTGCTGTTGGTTTAGTCCGTTCTAATAAACCGGATCTTGTGTTTTTTTCGGAAACACGTTCGAGACGGAGAGTAGTGTCTCGCCGTTTGCGTGGGCTAGGTTTTGAGTCTTCTTGTTGTTTTTTTGTTGATGCAGTTGAAGCATCTGGTGGTTTAGTTGTCGCTTGGGCCCCCGAAGTTTCTGCTTCGGTGTTTTTTCATTCGGACTTCTATGTTTGTGTTCAAGTTAATGAAATGGATTTTTCGTATGTGGTGATCTTTGTTTACATTAGTTGTAATGTAGCTCTCCGTGCCG